CGGTAAAGCCGTTCTTGAGTTATAAATAGTGTAACTAACACGACATTTTATATATATAGATAAGCCAAAAGATAACATTTTTATTATAGTAATTTCGATGAATTAGGGACCACAAAGTAGGTCTAAAACGTCCCTTCCCAAATACTTTTTTGTCAAACTCTGTAAAAACATCATAATCACTATCATTAACTTGTCAAAACAGAGAAAGTATATTTTAAGAGGGGGTTTTGATCTTGGAAACCCACGGTAATTTTAGGGTAACCAAATTATCGCTTATAGGAGTTGTACAAGATATGCCAAATAAATGGACATGCTATAAGACGTGGTATTTTGTGCCTATTTCATTTTGTAGCATTGACGTAACGGTAACTGCTTTTGGCGGTGGTAAGGATTCAAAATAATAAAAGAAAATCATTGTTTTCGGAACGAAGCAAAAGCTGTGATTTCAAAGAAATGACCTAGCCTCCGATCCGGTAACTATAATGAAGTAACAGCCCGAGCCGAGGCTCCTGAGGGAGACCTCGAGTCTTGTTACTCTTAAACGAGGTTCAGACTAAGTGCCATCTGCGCTCGGCCACCTCAAGCCAGGTGAAGCTGTAAATGCCTCTTCAAGGCAAACAGTGACTATTCAGTCACAAAAAAAGATCATTTATGACCTGATACAAAAGGACACCCTTGTTAAAGTCTTTACTCCTTTGTTAATCGAACCTTTTTATATGAATCAGAGTTCTTTAACTTCAAATAAATCAAAACAACATTCCATACATTTGAGATATAATTTTTATCATAATTGAATTTATGGATAATAATTTGACTAACAAAACGTACTAATTAATACAAGTTGTACATCTAAACTGAATTAATGTAAAGTTTAAAAGGTGATAGAGTAATTGCAAAAAAATTGCGTAAATTTACGATAACATAGTAACAAGATAGATTACGCGTGAATTAAACAGCAGTTTCGTTGGTCCTGTCTAAATACGTCACTTTTCTAGAAAGTTCGGCGACCATAGTTTATAATATACTCCGATGAAGGTTAACTATAAACCGAACGAATTATTGACACGATCATCTGTAGAAAAATGGCGGTGTATTCCCTTACGCAGTTGACATTGGAGCAAACCTCCCCTCAATTATAAACTGATACTTTGTCTACATTTGTTAATCAATTCGCTTGGCTTTATTTTCACTCGAGAAACTTCAAATATAACTTTCATACCAAAGAGTTTGACAGTGACAATGAGTTTATCGTTTTTCGAAGAAATTAAACCGCCATATAGTCATGCAACCTGCACATGTCTGAGAAAGAAATTCATAGATATGTGTGAAGTCAACCAACCCGCACTTGGCCAGCATGGTTGACTGTGGCATAATCACCCTTAACTTAGGGTATGCAGCAAGCACCTCGGTGGGGAAGTATAGTGAGCTGATGATGACGATGATGATAGTCATGCTTATTGAATATTAGGGCTTCGCAACTGCGGATACTATTTAAACCGTATATCATGTCTTAAAGACAATTATTATGTTTATTATAAAACTAGCTTTTGCCCAAGACTTCGACCGCGCGGAATAAAAAAACTTAATTATAAATCTATGTGCTTTTCCAGTGTTCTACATCTATGCCAAATTTCAGCGTGATCCGTTGAGCGGGTCTAGAGATTCGCAGTAACAAATAACCACCCAAACATTCGCATTTATAATATTAGTAAGATTTATTTTATTCTTGAACATATAACTAAAAACTTTGACGTGAACATGATGTGTCATGTATCGGCAAAATCAATGCAACTGCGTCATTATTGAAATCGTTTAACAAGTCCATAAATACGATAAAAGAAAAAGTACCTAATAATATTGAATCGTAATAAAATAATAATCAATTTCCGCAATCATATGAAAATCGCCTCACTATTAGTGCTGTAAAGTTTTGTTAAATTTTTGGCCTAATAAAATGTTTTATGCCTTTTTATTTTATAGATTTAGATATGTTGTCATAGTATTTTTTTAAATTGATTTTTAAAATGTTATTTAACTTTATTATATTTCTATATATTACATTATTGACAAATACAAGACAATGAATATACGGATTACACTAGCTTTGGCCTTGACTCCGTCCGCGCGTAATTAAAAAAACATAATAAGTAGCCTGTGTTCTTTTAGACTATTTTCTATATGTATGGGAAATTTCATCGAGATCCGTTCAACCGTTCTGGTGATACTCAGATATAAACATTCACATTTATAATATTAGTAAGATTTATAGAACTAAATGGTACTTATAGAAAAGAAAAATGAAGGAAACATCAAAAAATCTTTTCTTTTTATTAAAAGAATACAGAGAAATCCTTTTGTTTTTTAATATATATTAACAAAGTACAATTTAATTAGTGATAGAAATAAAATATAATCTAATTCCTAGTAATCACAAAAGATATGTTCCGATATGATTTGTTAATTTCCAAACATTGGGATTTTATAAATCTTATATTGTTCAGATTATCTATAAATGTTTTCCTCACTAAAATATAAATTTCCGTTTAATTATATTAATTTACATTACAAAAATACGCGTAACACCGCTCTTATACCGATACCCCATATAAAACAAGAAAAATATAAGTTCAGATCAGGACCAGCGTTGGTATAGGGGGCGGAAGATTGCGCAAGTGTACCCGTGATCCAGCCGCAAGGCGACGTGGAAGGCCTGAGGGGTTTTAGTGGGTATGGCCGAACGACTTTAGACGAGCCACACACTCCCTGCGACATTGCATATTTGGCCCGGCGCAGGGGTGCTGAACTGCATTTCGCCTCGTTAAAAAAACCGGGGGCGTTTGGGCGACCGCCCAGGGCGTTAAACAGAAAGGTATAAGAATCTCCAATAATTCCATTAATCTTTAAAGGCGTGGTAAAAAGGGTTATTGAAATCACACCCAGAGCGTTAGCAGAGCTAAAATCCTCACTAGTTCAAAGTCTCTGCGTGACCTTCTAGACAGTATAAGAATCATTTGTCGCGAATGACGTGCTTTCGTTACAAAGTCCAGTGTCAGAATGATTAGTGAGGGGACATAAACATCGACATTTTATTAAGCCTAGTGTTGCGTGAACATCCTGCCACATTTTCGCATTTTCTTCCTAACAGACTAAATCAAAAGTTATACGAAACCTAATCTTAAACGGCAATGGTCTTGGAAAAATAATCTAACCTTATCGAAAAAAACGTCAGAAATGCTAGACAAAAATTATCTTTACAATTTTATCTATTTTTTTTTAATATACAATAAATGCATTCATTTTAATAATGTTCTTAGAAAACATTAGTATGTAAGGATTAGATAAAACGTAACTAAAACTATTTTCATGTTTACTTGTATATTAATATAATTAAATTAATATTGAAAAGTAATTATAATTATCAATATAATCTTGAATCATGAACGTGATCATGAAAACAAAGGTTATCTTCACGCAATACTTCGAAAAGGTGATAGAATAAAAATTTATGAAAATAAAGATTTTCCATTTTCTCATTTTAGACATTATTAATTAGAATCCTTTGGCGCGAATCGTGCGTTTTCGTTACAATGTCTAGTGTCAGAATTAGTAAGGGGACATAAACGTCGACATTTTAGTAAGGCTAGTGTTGCGCCAGTACGGCGGCACAATGACGGATTTTTTTCCTAACACTAATAAGAAATACTAGGGAAGGGGAAGTGGGATAAAAGAAATAAAATTATTCCTCTACACATCCTTAGCTATTATCTAGCCTTAAAAGTTAGAAATAAATCGTAGCCATGTAAAAACATGGCTACGATTAGCGTACTATATTATTTTAGTGATTTAAATTGGCAGCTTGCTTGTTTGCCACCTTCTACTTTTAAAAAGTTAGTTTTAAAAATAAAAAATGTCAAAATTTATTGAATCAATTGACAGATGTGTAGAGCACAATTATTGATGGGACAAAGAATTACAGCGGCGAGATACACTACCGCAAGTGCTTACCCGCAATGGGTCTTTCAAAATAACCTAACCCCAAACCGCTATTAATCTAGTAATAATACGTCACTACCAATTTTAGGCCTAATACAAAGTTAATACTCATTGTCTATGATTTGGTCGCTAATTATATCAACAATGAACTTACGCCCCTATGAGTAATAAAGCAATTATAATCTTCATAATTCTGATCAAATTAGATCTTATTTACAGATATTTATTTTATTATCAAACTGGAATTCTATAATACAGTAGTTTAGCTATTTGATATTAGAAAGTTACGTCATAGATAACAGAGTTAGAGATGTTTAGGGTATTAGAGAAATAGAGGATTCACGCACACGCAACACACGAAACTCGGAGTCACTTCCACTTGACGTCTATTTTCTGTATGGTCGTTGTATTGCACTGATCGAGCCGGCCATACATGCATACTAATGCTCTACATACACCAAGAATCGACCACTCTATCATTTACAAAGAAATAATATCGGTAGGGAGTAAAATAAAATAGTCTTTCATTCTGAGCTTTCGTATTAGAGACTGGGACGGAAAAGAGCAGGGCCGGCGTTAGTTTACAGCGAGTTTAGGCGACTGCCCAGGGCGTTGGACATTAAGTGACGCACGTCTGTAAATAGTCTTACTTAAAGTAGATGTTACAAACTTTACATCATCTTTGTTGTCTGCAAGTTACAATTTCCGTTTAAGTTCCCATTGATCCATGATCTTCATTTTAAGAACTCATTGTTATACAAAAGAAGCCGTTGACACTTATCAATTGAATTATTAACGCGTTATCAGTTGATAATTTAAATTAATCCCTTGAAAGAAAAATTCTTCCTCATACATTATCTATACATTTGAAATATTCACTCACAAGATACATTATAGACTTTAACAAAACGGATTAAAGGTTATAATATATTTATAGAACTGCAAATAGAATATTGTATATTAAAATAATCGCGTATATAGGTATTAACGAATGGTAATAGTTGGACAGTCTATGAGCAGATCCAAAGAAAAGACCGCGGTGTGAAAACTTTTATAAACTTCATCCTATAAAAGGAAATAAGTGACAAAGTGCCACACGTGATTTGTTTGTGACAAGATCATCATGATTGGTGCGTATAATCTATGGTTAACGGTTTTATTTTTTTAAAATTTCTGTGCATCTATTTTTAGAAAACATATCTAGAACGTAGATTGTGCGTAAAAAAGTCGTTTTCAGCTTAAGTACGTCCCTACTAAGGGCACGGCGCCTACTTAAGTTACGGGTCGCCTAGGCCTTCATCAACAACGCTGACCCTATGATTGGTTGACATCTTTATTTTCTTTTTAAATATGTGCAGCTTTTTTCATCTTAAATGTCGTAATAATTTATTTTTTTTGACTATTTCTTTCTCTCCTATTTAGAGCATTTTAACTATAATCTGACTGAACTTATCCAGAATATATTATTACTAGTAGATTCTAAATCTAGGGAATTCCATTAACGTCATAATTACGCAATGATTCACCGAATTGGACAAGTCAAGGTAAATCCATACATTATCCTTAGCCATCAATGACTTGAAATTAGGTCTTCCACAATGACTTTCATAGTATGTTGTCCTCGTATTGCATCCAGTGACTGATCCAATAATTTAAACTAACATTTTGGAAAAATATGTAACGATAAAAATCATAGTTTTTAAGTAAAGTTCTTGTTATTTTTCTAAATTTAATAGCGAAAGATTATTGCCTAATATCGAACTAATACGTTTAGAAAGGATCACAGATGGGAAACAAGATGATGTAAAAATCTACATTGAAAATTAGTTAATTTGAACTTACGTCTTTGTAAATATACGACGATTACGGCATCAAAATAGAGCGTCACAGAAAATTCTTATTTCCTGTTTCTTGTATAAAATTTATAAACCAGGGATGAATAAAAATGCATACTTAGCGTAGGATTTAAAGCACCATTCTTAAAGCAGGCGGGACCTGGCTAGTGTTAGGAAGAAAATCCGATAGTGTGCCGGTGTACTGGCACAACACTAGCCTTACTAAAATGTCGACGTTTATGTCCCCTCACTAATCATTCTGACACTTGACTTGGTAATGAAAGCGCGCCATTCGCGCCAAAAGATTCTTACTAACAATGTCTAAAACTAGTGGGAATTGAAGTACGCAATTTCAACTTATACTGAAATGTTGAAAGCACAAAATATAAGTTGAAAAAAATATATTGCTTCATCTATGTCAAAGATAATGACAGAGATGGAGACATGTTTTATACTAAGATTTTGGTTTCAGAAATCAACAGTAAGTTGCTCCAACCCGCTAGTTTCTCTATTTTTCAAATTGAATGAGATTGTCAAGCAACTTTCCAGACTTTCTTTTCTGTTCTAAGTCTCCCCCAAAATATTTTTTATAAGATTTTCTTGTGCTATACTAATATTATAAAGCGGAAGAGGAACTACTAGTCCGATTTTAAAAATTCTTTTTTTGTTGGATAGTCCATTTATAGAGGAAGGCTTTAGCCTATATAACATTACGCTGCGATCTATATTTTTTTTCAATTTTCGCGCTGACGGAGTCGCGGGCGACAGCTAGTAAATAGATAAAATAATTATAGATGTTTTTCATATGACGCCCTTAAACACTATTTATTGTATAGATAAGGTGAACGGAAATATTATAGTATAAATAAAATTCAATTGCGCAATAAACAGCGCGGCTTGATTATTGGACGCTTTAAAGCAGGGGTACCCAACCTATTCTTGGTCAAGGATCAATTTTTATTCTTGTTAGCAGGACCTATGTAAAAAGTGAAAATCGTCTAAAATAATTCTTTTTTTATGCTGAGTTCACAAATCGTGCACTATATTGTGTTGTCTTACCTGAGCTGGAGGTCCCGCATATGAGCAAACGCTCGCTAAATTTAAAATCATTGGCGGACAATATTTGGTCTTCTGCTGACCACTGGTTAGTAACCAGTGTTCTAAACCTAAGTACATTTGGACAATCGTGTGTTAAAATTGAGGGTTTTCTACACAGAGTATCGAAGTCTATGCGTGTCGCCCTTTATTCATAAAAGAGTGCGTGCTGTATAATCGTTGTTCTGTGGTTATCTGTTTTGGGTTTTGTATAGTGCCCATACAATGTTTTTTTTTTTTACGTTTTATAAGCTAGCGCTTGACCACGATCCCACCTGGTGAAGTAGAGATTTGGTCGAAAGATGGTACGCGCTAGCTTAGTAAGTGCCTATTCACTCTACTTTTGAAGGTCCCAATATCAAATTTGGACGGAAAAACAGAGGCTGGCAACTTGTTCAAATCCAATGTTATTCTTTTTATAAGGGAATTTAAATAAATATAAAATACAAATATTCATGCGTAAACTAATTTAATAAAAAAATAAATATTTACAAGACGAAATAACTTACTTTATCATTTAAAAAAATGGCCATTAGAAATTACATTAAAAAAAAAAATCAATTAATTAAAGAATAAGCATAGACCCAAACAATCACATACAGAAATATTTACGTGACACAGCAACATTTTTAATTATAAAATAATTGTTTAAATTCAGTCAATAAAACATTAATTTAGACCAGTGTGAGTTTAAATTGTTCCACTTGTAACTTAGCTGGAATAATATGAACCGGGCATTATTATCTCTTAGTACAAAAACCAGATATTCAAAAAAAAGTAATAAAATAAAGTTTAAAATAATATACAATTAAGGATGTGTTCGTCAAACACTGGCTAATAATCCCCAGTTGACCAGAATCCGTAGAATAAAAAAAACATTCCAAAAAACATCAATAGGTTAATCGGCTCACCAATAACAAACTATATTTACTTCTAAAACATTTATCATTGAATATTTAATTCAATCAGGGCAGGTTTTAGCATTTCTGGTACCCTGGGAGAGGCACCCCATTTTTCTGATATCGGGGAAAATCTTCCATAGATAGGGAATTTTCGGGGACACTACACGCACCCATTTACATCTGACTCTGGTGCCCTCTTGAGCCCGGAGCCCTGGGCTGTCGCCCTACCCTAACACTACTGAATTCAATAATATTTAGGTAATTATATTGGCAAAAAAATATTGCTTCTTATTCATCAGACTTTCAACAAAAAAGTTACATCTACATCTCTATGGGATGTTAAAAGATGTAACTCTTTTCATTAGATGGGTCTATATATCTAAATTCAGACAGCATCAGCTAATGATCTTCACATCAATGCACTCACCACCTTCCAGTTCTAATTCCTCGGGGGTCATAGTACCTAGAAAATATCACCATATTAATTTATGAAAACTTCATACCCCAAGGAAATTGCAAAACGAATGAACCGGAAATATGATGAGATGAAACATAACAAAAAAAAAGATTTAGAATTATGGATGAATTTGAACCAATGGGTGATCCCTAATATGAATTAATATGTACTACGACTGTAGAACATAGGGAGAATGTATGATTAACTAGTTGAATGCCAAAGTTTAACTATGTCAAAATTCTGTGTGATGAAAAAAAAAAAACTATACTAGCTGTCAACGCTTTAAAAGCAATGTGTTCTTCCAGAATATATTCTACATCTTAGCCAAATTTCAGCAAGATCCAGGCAGCCGTTTTGGAGATATCTACTAACAAACATCCATCAATCCAAACATTTACATTTATAATATTAGTAGAATGTAAGATACATACCAGTAATGCTGTCGCCATCGAATACAAACTTAAGTTTGTTTAAAGGCATCTCCAAATGTTCCGCACATTTGATCATGGCTAAGGAAAGCTTGTCCTTTGGTTGTACCATTATTTCTAAAGGTTTCTTCGTATTTTGACACTGAAATTTAATCTGAATACCTTTACCATTATCTATTGTTTTACCATTCACTAATTTAGTTACATCTCGATTTATAACACCTCCATCTATAAACTTCACAATGCTATAATTAATTGAATCGGGAGTATCATCTGCTTTTAATATTTTATCATTGTACATGAATAGTAAGTTATTTTCACTGACATTTTCTTTCTGTGCGAAATATCTGAATATTGGTGTGAGTTTTTGATATCTACGTATTTTAAATGGATAATAATCAGAACTTCTCCAATATACTTTCACAGATAACTCTTCATTTTCATCTAAAACATCACTATCATCTAGTAATACAACATTATCACTGTTATTTGCTTTGCTAAATAGTCTCTGACCTTCTAATGGGTCTTCATATTCTAGTGTGTTACCAACACTAATTATTGGTATAGAATCAGACATTTGACTATGTCTCTCTCTTCCAGCTCTGCCTCTACCTCTCTTTCTACCTCTATTTGGAGTGCTCTTTGGAGTTACAACTGTCTTGTTTTTTGTAGTTTGTTTACGCTTCCTTGTGGAAACAGTTTTATTCAAACTTGTATCTAGTATTTCATTAATAACAGGATCTGATTGTTTTCTTCTCGTCGAAGATCGAGTTTGGCGTCTTGTGGAATACTTTAGAATTTTTTCTAGTTCCAAATCATCTTGTTCTTCCTCGTTAGTTAAGTTTATTGAAATTTTGGGTGCTTGTTTACTAACTTTTCTATCAGTAACAACTTCGACATCTGAAGATTCATTTAGGAAACTTGAATTATCCAATTTATCGTCTTTGTATGCATTTTTAAGTTTTTCCAGTTTCAAAGCTGCGTTACTGTAACAGTCCTCTTCTGAATCAGACGAGGAAATCATCTTTGCCGTAAATTGAAACGATTATGCACTATTCAAATTATTTAAATATGCTTTTGGCCGAATAAATTTATCAGGAATCCATAGCATAATTTAACACAACAGGATTGTAGGAATTAAGAGGATTTTTGGGTATTTTTTCATGCGACTGAATTTATATTTTGAATTCAATCTCTTCTTTGACTGGTGATCGAGCTTAATCTTGACATTTGACATTGACAATTGACTTGACAGATGACAGACACTGGCAGCTTTGATGTAGATTAAATTTATTTCGTCTATGGTTCGGAGTTTTTGTTCTGAGAAAAATTATGTTTCTTGTTGATAAAAGTTTTATTGTTTCCTTAAGCCAGGTAGTTTTTTTTCGCGTTAGGCGCGCCGATTATCAATATCTTTGCACAGGTACGGATAATGAGGGGAAAAATTGAATTAACATGGTAAGCGGTAACATGGAATGAAACTTTTCGTTGCAGCTTACATAGCTTACAAATTTTACTCGTCTTTAACTTTAAACAAAAGAATTGTTCTTATGATATCGCGCAACAAGAATTGAAATACAAAGAGAAAATAAAAACAATTTTAGTGTCCGTGATTGCAGTCGCGTTTTATATCAAAGAAATCAGATACGTGGTAATTACACGTGTTTTTGTGTTGAAATCGTTTGTAAAAATCAAATAAAGAGGCGACATACATCAATAACGTCACTATCTTATCAATGATTAGGAATAATAGTCATATTACCGCTTGATATTTTAGTTTAAAATTTGCACGGATTTAGTAATAAAAATATAATCGAGAATGTTTACGTACTTCTAAGCCGGATGCTATGACAGAAATTTATAATAATTTAAATATTGAGGAAAATATTCTTCAAAATATCTAAGTATTGTATCTTATCGTTCGATATCATTGTATAGTACTATTGGTTAATAAATTCTTAGTTATGGTTTCTAAAAGTTGTTTCTAGTCTTAAAATCACTTAGTATACGGTTTTATTTAGGCATTGAAGTTCGTAACGATAACAAGAACATTTAATACTGTTGTATGACTTCTATCTTTTACTCAGCACACCTCGTTTCGCGTCATTTTTTTATTATTTTGGTCCTATGAAATGTAAAATGATTAGTAAAGAAAATGTGACAAAGTGATTATCGTATATTATGTAAAAGTTTAACATGTTTTAGAAACAAAATTAATATTACCGAAGCAATTTAAAGTCGACGTATAAATAACACAACAATTTTTTTTATGCAATCTGTCATCGCAATCATTTAAATCACGGTCGGCCATTTTGACAAGGAGATTACATTAATACTGTCTGTGATTTTTAATCACGGACTTTATTATAGGCTTTCATTGATATGATTGTGCAATGTTTAATATTGCATTAAATTTTATCTCTATATCATAATTTAGAGTTTTGCGTCTTATTTACTTTTTTTTTATTTAGTCTGCAAGATTAACTGCCGCTATAATTGTCGACCAATGTTCACCAACAGATGTAGCTTTTGATTCCTTTCTATTTAAAATTGCCTGTTGGTTGCGTGACAGTTATTCTATATATATTATTACTTCGATTCCTCATCACCGATGCAAATCGCTAACATCAGCGCCAAAATGGCGAAAATCAAATAGGCACAAAATATTACGTCTTATAGCCAGTCCATTTATAATGTGTTATTCTACCATGTATGTTTATGACATATCTACATGAACGGAATTTAAATCCTTTAACCTTTAATTAAGACCGTCGGTTAATTAACCATTTAGCAATTTTATGTGCGGAAGTTAAAAATTTACTCCGTGAATTATTATATTGTTAAATAACAGTTATTTTTGGATGTAAAATAAATACGAATTGTTAATTATTTCCTTTTATGAAGTCGGTTATTAAAAACTTATCTACTTTTTGCTTTGTTGGTATTTAATGCAGTCTAGCATGATCTTTATCAATAAAAATGCATTATCTATTCTCTAAATTGTTCTTTAAAGTTTAAACGATTGCCGATCCGTAATCTAATCTAATCTGATCGGATCTATATTACAAACTCAAGTGTCCACATCAATTAAGTGTTAACATGCGGACAATAAAGTTATAATTAGTATCCACTCAACTTTTACACTTCACGAAAAACATTCACTTACAAGTACTTAGGGATAAGTGGACAGAATTTAACATGATAATGAACCACAAGATGTGACAGGCGATACAAAGTATATTTGTATAAGATTTTATAACAATCTTTCCCAAAACTAAAATGTGTAGATTTAAATCAGAAATATATTATTATATAAAAGAAGTTGTAGGTCTAAGAAAATATGAATTACTCGTATGTAAATCTATGAACCGATTCAAAAGCTCAGCTTGCATAGGCTCAAAGTTGAGCTGCAGCTCAACAACTTTGGTGGTTTACGGCTCAACGCGATGAACTATAATCGTACTAGCATGCGAGTAGCAGAGAGAGTGATCGTAACTCTATGTAGGTAAAAATTGAACTGATCTGCGAGTCGGTACAATGATCTGTTGCACACAAGCGAAATGTAAATTCTGCAGGTCATTTTATTTAAGTTACCCATTACTAACTATAGAATGTGATAAAGACAGAGAGATTATGACAATTTGAATATAATTAAAAGTATCTACATCATACTATCTTTCTAATATAAATGCGAATGTTTGGATCGATGGATGGACTGATGTTTATTTGAAGGTATCTCCAGAACGGCTGAACGGATCTCGATGAAATTTGACATACATATAGAACATAATCTGGACGAACACATAGGCTACTAATTATGTTTTTTTAATACTGCGCAAACGGAGTCGCGGGCGACAGCTAGTTGATTGTAATTGTTTCCGAGTTTTTTTTACTAATTATTAGCTTCATTTTGTCTTACCGTTTGGTAGCGTATGAGGAAAATGATGAAGTTTCTTGGTTTCGTACGTGAAATTTTCGATCGTAAAATCCATATCTGATCCGTCGATAATCTATCGTCGGTTTATCTATATAATATAGCTATTGCTAATGGATCTTGATTTTTGATTTCCGTCACGCGTCCTTGAAATTGTTGAACTTGTACGTTGACATTGTCTTTATGAGTTCCCACTGCTGAAACATTTACACAAAACATATATCTCTATTTTTCTAGATAACTAAAGAAATTATGATGTTTTATGAATTAATTTTTTTTTAACCAAAACGTAATTTATCAGATCGTTATCATCGCCATATGCACAATTTACATTATTCCAGTTGTAAATGCAGCGGTCATCCGCTGGACTGGAATAATGTAAACAGGGCATTAGAAAGAACTAACCGTCGTTCATTTGTTTGCAGGAAAACTAGTACCTATACTGTTCCTATTGGGATCTGTTCTTGCTGGTGACGCAGAGCCCAGCACCACAGAGAAGACTACTACCGCTAAAGTCACCACCACTGCTGCTACCACGACCACCACTGCTAAACCCACCACCAAAGCGAACGGAACAGAATCCATAACTCCTTATAAACCGTTCGAAGGTGTCGATCCTAATACTCTATCTTGTGATCCACAGGGACAGGTAAATGCACCATTAATCCTATAGCTTACAGATTTTTCCAGAAATTTATGTACGTATTTTACTTCTTACTAATATTATAAATATGAATGTTGAGATGGATCGATGGATGGATATTTGTTTGAAGGTATCTTCAGAACGGCTGAACAGATAGCGATGAAATTTGGCATAGATATATAACATAGTCTGCAAGAACACATAGACTAATAAGTTTTATTTTTAATTCCACGCGGACAGAATCGCGGGCGACAGCTAGTTTGTTATAAACTTGCTTATAAAAACATGTATGCGAGAAAAATATCTTTATGGGCAAACTTTACTGGAGTATCTGTCCATTGAATCATTTACTTTTTAGAACTGTGGCGCCCCTTTCTGTCAGGCGTCCTGAGCGGTCGCCTATCCGCTCCCTAATCTGACGCCGGCGTTGTTTACACTTTCTTAACGTTATTTAGGCTTATATTATTGTTACAGATATTCCTTTTATTGCCTCACTTCACGGACTGCACGAAGTTCTTCATGTGCGCGCACGGCGAGGAGGTCCTGTTTGTATGTGCCGGTGGACTTTACTTCGATTTCGAGAGACAGGTAATAGTTTTGTTTGGTTATAATTTAAATATAGCGTACATGATAAGACTTTTAGTCAATTATAATAATATTGATAGAAGTAACAAATATTAATTAAAACAACGAAATTATAAGTTTCTTTTTATGTCAAAAGATAGCAAACGAGCACCTGAATTCGCCTTAAAAGAGAAGCGACCGCTGCCCATAGACATTCGAAGTTTGAGATGCGTTGTCAAACCTTTCTCTAAGAAGCATTTGTTTTAATTTTTGCAGACATGTAACTGGCCGAGAGATACGAATTGCATACTCCGTAACTTGCCTGAAGATAATGACGTGGAAGGATCAGGAGAGGAGGCTTTCGACTGGCTCTCTGATAACGCCGACAAGCATTCCGATGGTAAGTTACTTGAACAGCATCACATTTATATTAGCTTTCGCCCTTTACTCGGGACATAAAAAGACTTCATTAGCAGCCTATGTATTCTACCAGGCTATGTTCTACATCATTGTCAAATTTCAGCGAGATCCATGCAGCCGTTCTGGCAAACTCTTCTAACAAACATCCATCCATCCATCCATTAAAATATTCGCATTTTTTGGTATCTGTGGAAAAGACAGGCTTATGTTTCTTGTTTCTATAATAAAAACTCTTTGCTGTCCAGGTTCCGTTGTCAGTTTGACAGCAGACGCGGTGCTGAACGCAGTGCGACCGCTCTCTTTGGAAACTCCCCCTCGTAGCACTGGTAACAACATTATTCTCAACTGCTTCAGAGCCGACTCCGCTTCCAGACAAGTGCCTTACAAGTGAGTACTGTTTACAATGTCATATTTTTGTATGAAGGCTCCGAGTCGGTTGCATTTAATTAAGTTCAATTTTGATAGTTCCTTCATTTTTTAATCTGTGGTTCTACTTTGTGACTATTTTACAAAAGATTAACGATTCAAACGATTGGCTGTCGGATAAATTAAACATTTTCTACAAGTACAGTCAGCTACACAAACATGCCTTTACCTTTGGTTAAAAAATACGATTGCAGATCTTCGTCAATACCATATATCCGTGGTCGGATCGTATACAGAAGGATAGCATTTATATTTTTGAAACCCTAAGCATATGCGAGTTTTTGAACCTTTATAAATGTGTACCTGACTGTGCCCTCGAGGTTTACTTTGACTAACAAAACACAAGGTCAAAAATTTGTAGCAAAATACCTTATCAGCTAATTTAATTGCTCTTGTCTGACAGGATTGCTTTTTTTATGAAGCGAATTTAATTCTTTAATTGTACAATTATACTTATAAGATGTATGATGTTCCAGGGGTGACTGCCAGCGTTACTGGCGCTGCATGAACGGTGTGCCACAAGTGGCATACTGCACGGACGGCCTCTTTTTCAACGAGAGGACCCAGCAGTGTGACTTCGAAGCGAACATCACGTGTCAAGTTGAACAAGAAGACGAGTTGAAAAGCGAGTTCATCAAAGTCAAATAAACCATAAACAATTATAGAAGACCAAAACAATAACGTATGTTTTTTTAAAATATAATCTGTGCTTCTTTTGACAGTTTTATATTTGGCTTATATTCAAAATGTTCTGTTCTGTTACATCTTATTTTTTATTAATTCTTTTGTTAATCTAATTATTAAATGATTAATTGTAACCTATATTTAAATGTGACATTGCAGAGAAATCGAATTTGTGTTCATATTTTTTGATAAATAATAATTACAGTATAAACAATATTAAAAAAAAACATTTTTTTAAAATGTAAAGTAAAATTTTGGTCTTCGTAAAATAATACGGCAATTTAAAATTAATAGCAATCTCTATAATAAGGTAATTGTTGGCAACCAGTTAAGAGGTTATGTAAAATAAATATTTATTTATTTAGTTTAAATGTATATAACACACAGTATTATATAAAATATTGCATTTTTGTAAAAGCGGTCGCGGAATTATATTCAAATGACTTGATTATTCTGTGGCTCTTTGCGAGATGTCATTGACCACAGATAACATATTGTAAACCAAACTCAATATTTATAATCTGTGTTTTTATAAATATAATAAAATAATATGACGATTTATTGTTTTGTTTTTTTAATCATCGATCGCCTCTAATTTAATTAAATAAAATACATCGCGTATTAATGTTTTTGATTTTAATTTTATTGATAAAGATTTTTATCGAATAAAGATATTGTCTTTTGATTTTATTATTGAAAATTTTTGTATCAGATTTAATATTATCGGTCGGGAAAATAAATCCTTGTAATCTTTAATTTACAATAAATAATTAAAAAAGTTGAAAGATAAGTGATAAAATCAATATGCATCGATTTAAAAGGTTTTTAGCCGGCCGGTTTTATAGGTTAGGTTTTTGTTTTAAATACATTGATAAAAAATATGAGTAATTATTATTGAAGAGTTTACTTGTATAAGCACATTTCAAACATCGTCTACATAGGTTTATAAAAATACTAGTTGTCGCCCGCGACTCCGTCCGCGCGGAATTAAAAAACATAATTAGTAACCTTTGTGTTCAACCAGAATATGTTCTATGTATATGCCAAATATCATCGTGATCTGTTCAGCCGTTCTAGAGATACCTTCAAACATCCATCCATACATCTAAACATTCTCATTTATAATATTAGCAAGATCTATGAAAAATTACACTTATTTATAGTTTTATTTGTGTAAGACATATTTATAATGGGTTCTTTAAAGTCAACACTTTTCGTCGGAGAATATTATAGATTGTTTTTTATTCTTTCAATCCAGCTTTAAATATGTCGGCGTCAGGTACGTCTTTCTTTTCGAATGGGTAGTAAGGATGGTCCTGCCAAAAGCTCGGCCACACTGTTCTATAGTCTTTGTTGAATTCCGCTGAAACGAAACGTAACTAGTTTAGTGCTATCTGTGCTAAAAACTACTTTTTTAGATGTTATTAGTTAGAATCCTTTGGCGCGAATGGCGCGCTTTCGTTACAAAGTCAAGTGTCAGATTGATTAGTGAGGGGACATAAACGTTGACAATTTAATAAGGCTAGTGTTGTGCCAGCACACCGGTGCAGTGTCGGATTTTCTTCCTTACAGTTTATTTTTTTTAATAATACAAGGCAGCAAGCAGCTTTGGTTGTTCCTGGCTGAATTGATGATATTTTCAGTAGTATATATACATAGAAACTTACCTAATAACTTCATCTCTTCGGGAGTTAGTTCAAAATCGAATATATCGATGTTTTCCTCTACGCGTTCCTTGTGAACGGTTTTCGGTATTGGTATTACGCCTCTTTGGACCTGGAAGAAACAAAAGAAGAATTTTGTATAAATATACAGCCATTGTAAACTTCTTAAGATTGTTTATCGAATTCTAGTTCTTTTGTTATGGAAGCGAACCTAAATATCATCAAAATATATTTTGAACCCTTTTACTTTTGCAATCAATAATTTTAACGTTAATTTCAATATCGTAATAAACACGTATGAGCAAAAATAATTTTACTTACTAGATAACGTAATACAATTTGAGGCGTAGTCTTCTTATACTTATTGGCCAGTTTGACCAGAGCCGGGTGGTCTTTGCGCGGCGGCGGTGGTCCCGGGTTCTTGCTGAACAGACCCCCAAAAGGTGTGTAAGCCATAACAGCTATGTTTTCCTTTTTAACGTGTTCTATTAGTTTATTCTGTGCTAAATTCAAATTTACCTGCAATTATTATAAAAGAACTTTTATTTTAGACATCAATAAATAGAACAGTTCGACCAAAATTACCCGCATATAAAATAAAACAAAGCTATCGATCTGTAACCACATCAGACAGTCAGTCCTTTGGGACATAAGAGATTCCCCATTGAGAATATTGAACAGTGTTTTAGCTCGATCTAGTAACATCCTGTAGAAACAGGGCCGGTCTTAGCATTTCCGGCGCCCTGGGCGAGATTTTTGCGGCGCCCTTTTTTTGGCCTCGGGAAAAATCATCCAAACATAGCTTTCCTTAAGGGACTCCGCAGACGCCCCTTTCGTATCCGACTTTGGTGCCTGAAGCGGCCACTTACGAATGACGCCCTGGGCGGTCGCCTCACCTTTCCACTCCAACGCAGATACCGTGTAGTAATTCTGTAACATGTTTGAGTTACCTCAACTTGTAAGACGGCGGGTTTAATTTGACAGTTCTCGAGCAGTCGGTCGATCTGGCTGATATTGAAATTGGAGATGCCGATGGACTTAGCGAGGCCCAGCGACTTGGCTTCCTCCATGCTGCGCCACGTGTCCACGTAGTCCACCACATCAAAACCACTGTGGTCGGCCTGTACATAATTACAGATAGGTACTGTTAATTGACTACATAAGTATTCAATCTCAATTTTTAAGAATCGTACTTCAAGTGTTTTTATAGTCTCATTTGTTTATTGGAATGCCGTAATAATTATTATTAAATTTACTTTCATTTGTACCATAGACGAACTCTGATTCCATCTTTTATATTGCGACAGCTTTTTTTATAGCGAACGGCAAATGAGCAAGCGGTCACTGAAATTCGCTAAAATAGTGAAGTTGATATAGAAATCTGCATATTAAATGCGTTGCTTACATTAAATCAACAGAGAGGGACGCACATAAAGAGGATATTTTCCATTCCTATGCCACTCCATATCTCCTTTCCATCCCTTATAATAAAAAGTTGGGAAGGGAAAACTGACTAAAATTAGGCGTACTGCGGCGTAGATAAACTTTATCTTAATATCTTATATTTATGATTCCGTGTCTTCTTCTTGTTTGTAACATACCTTTAGTGCTACTGGATTATGAATTAGATAGAGATCGACGTAGGAAGTGTTGAGGCGGGCTAATGACGCTCGCAACGCATCTAATACATGACGCTGCTCGTTTAATCCAAGCTGAAGATAAAGATGAGAACTATTAAAAAAAACCCTAAACATGGTTAGGTTATCGTCTTCTCAGTGAAGAAATTCAAAGATATTGGACCAGCGTGATTGACTATGATCTAGTCACTTGTAACTTGGAGTGGGCTCCGAGCTCCTTAGTGGGCACGTATAGCGTAGTAATTTTAATTGGTACTAAGTTTATTGCAGTTATGTATACTGCCGAGTCTATATTTTTCTATCTGAATAAATAAATATAGCTTAAGTGTAGATTAATTTATAAATTTCTTACCTTTGTTACAATAAAGACATTTTCTCTTGGCACAGTTGATTTCTGTATACCACGACCGACTTGCTCCTCATTGTAATATAAAGATGCTGTGTCAATTAATCTGTAATATAAAATTGCTATTACTAATTCAATAGTTTATCTATACACTCATGTTATTACTTTATTTAATAGTAAACAGGGCCGGCTTTAGGTTAGGGCGCGATTGGGCGCCCAATAAGGGCGCTTTACTGAAAGAGGCGCCATAGGTCACAGACTGCGTAGTTTCATAACAATCCACCAAAAGCATGGTTAATAAAAGAGGGCGCCAGTAGAGCTAAAACCGTTTCTGCGTAAATCATAATTGTACCTGTATCCAGAGTTAAGAGCCCACATCACTGGAAGTTCCACTTCGCTGTCTTTAACTTGTTTTTGGCCGTTCTGAAAATATAAATATTGTCGATGGTGTATTATGATATAATCTACTTTTATAATTGTGTTTTTAATCTATATATCAATCAAAACACACAAACATGTCATAACTTAAATTCAATACTAAATATTATACACTTTTTTTAATATACACTTTTAATAATCACAATTAATTCAAAAATACTTTATAACAAAAGAGTCTTCATCATCAGCTCACTATACGTCCTCACCGAGAGGCTCGGAGCCTACCCTAAGTTAGGGGTGATTAGGGTAAGGACGTCGGATAACAGTGGTAGAGCCCGCTTTAACATCTTCGCACGTATTGGCCCGGCTCGCCCGGTGAAATACCACTACCACACAGAAGACACGCGTAAAGTGGAAGCAATTCCGCGTTTCGTCTGATGAGTGGGCGTCCCGGAGGCCTAATTAAGTCCTCTTTCCTTTCCTACTCTTTTTCTCTAATAAGGAAAGGATGGGAAGTGGAAGTGGACATTCCGGATGAGAGGATGCATGGCAAGGGAAAATGTTTTCTTTCTGTGCATCCTCTCCTCCGTCGATTAAAGTTAGGCAACGCATATGCAATTGCGTATGTCTATGGGCAACGTATGGGTAGCCGCTCGCTCATTTGCTACCTTATGATATAAATATAATTTTTACTCATAATTACCTCATCAAAACCTAAAAATGTCCCGAGACCGAAAACAGGCATGGTGTTGCCATCATTTAGGAGAATTCTTGGAGCTTTGCCGCCATCATTGCTGTCGCATAACTAGAAGAAAATGTCTAACTAGTAATTTATAATCTATATTAATATTATAAAGGGCATAGATTATATTGTATTGAATAGACTTCGAAACTACTGCACCGATTTGAAATTCTTTTACTATTGGGAAGGTACACTGTTCCTGGGTGACACTATTATGCGCTATAAGTCCCCGACAGCTTCTAGTATAAAATAAGTCTGTTAGTCTACTGATAATCCCCTAAATCATTACTTAAGAATAAGAATCAAATGTCACCTCACACTATATAATGGGTCATTCCATTTTACCTGCAGGTAACTGTGTAAATTCGCGTCTGCGCGTATTGAAAAAAAAACTTAATCAGTAGTCTATGTGTTCTTCCAGACTATGTTCTACAACTATGGCAAATATTAACGAGATTCGTTGAGCCGTTTCGGAGATAGCTTCTAACAAACATCCATCCATCTAAACAGCATTTATAATATTAGTAAGAGTAAGATATATATAATTATATTTAAATCAATTTACCGCTGTATCCATCAGTGTTAATATTAACAATAATAACATTGCACGAGTTTGAACTGTCAGCACACAACTAATCCACTGAGATTGTAATGTTCTTGAGAAGTAAAAGTAAATCTAACGCAATGTTGCCATGTACATAAAATAACCTAAAATAAGGACAAAACCTCTTTAAAAATCACAAATAATTCAAATAAACATTATGACAGAATAATCTTAAATCTATGATATTAAATAATATATTAAAAACTAATAATTACCAAAAATATATTATTAAAAAGAGTTCCTTTAGGTAAGGTTTTGAAGATACTGGCAGCGTTCCCCCTTTGAATAGCTATACTAATCCTTTGTCCGAGTTTGCTGCCAGCTCTTCAGTGTTCTGTGATGTCGATTAACTAAGACAAATATATAACACTAGCTGTCGCCCGCGACTCTATCCGCGTGGATATATAAAAAAACTTAATGTATAGATAAGTTAAAAAAAGCAGCTCTTTAAGGCATAAATAAAAAAAAATAGTATCCTCTGTCCTTCTCCCGGCTCTAAGCTACCTCCTTACCAATTTTCAGCCATATAGTTAAAGCCGTTCTTGAGTTATAAATAGTGTAATTAACACGACTTTCTTATATATTTTTAAGTTCTATATATATAAAGATATTGATAGAACTCAAAAACATAACGTCTTAATAAAATAGAGAACTAATGTGAAAAATAAATCTTCGAGAATGCATTGTCATTTTGGCTCTGTAACTTTTGTCGACTTAATTGGGAAATGTTTGATTATATGGCAAACATTTTGGCAAAACAAGTTTTTTGTCTAAGTCTGTGGAAAAAATATAGCTGTTTTAAATTCTAAATGCATATTAGCTTTGAGTGAATGTTTAATACAATCTTAAACAACTCTTTATCAATGTCAATTTTAAATATACTTAGTCAAGGTGATTATTGTAAATTGGAGTAAACAGAATTAATTAAATCAGAAGTTCAGAACATTTTTATTAATGTTTAAATTACCCGGAACACTAGCGGTTGTGGCCGAGGTCTTGGTATAGTGATTTTTATTTCGATTACTTAATGTTGTTCAAACAAAAAAACAAAGAGTTAAGAGTCAAGGTCTGGTCAAGGTGGATAAAAATAACATAAAGAAATATTGGTAATCAACTGGGGCTCTTTAAATTTGGGCGAACGGGGTTTTACGATAATACCGCCTCTCAAAATAGGAAAAGATTTGCTTTTATATCGTTTAATTTTTTTTTACATATGAATATTGTAAAGCGCCTGCAACTTTTGTATTACTTTTAATAAAAAAAAAGTTGCAGGCGCTTATATATTAATATTTTACAAGTGAACGACAAAGTAATTTTAAAGTTGAAAAAAAATGTTTAAAAAATAACAAAATAAAAACAATTATAAATCATTTATTCAAAACATAATTTGAATATAAAAACTATTTTTTTAGTAACAAATAAAAAAAAGAATTCAATTGACGTCAAAATTCCCGCCATTTTACCACTTGAGGAGTGCCAAAGGTATTTCTTTTTCTGGATCTGGTACCTTCTCGAATGGATAGTTGTCGTATTCCTGCCAGAACGAGGGGACGTCAGTTCGATATCCATTATCGAACTTTGCTATTTCAGCGATGTCTTTCTCGTCCAATTCGAAATCGAAAATGGATGCATTTTCTAAGATACGACTCTTGGTAAGAGATTTTGGGATAGTAGCAATACCGCGTTGGTACTGAAATAAAAAATGTTGCTGTTAAAAATGAAAAGGCGCAATACATTTTCTAAATATTTGTATAGAAAAAACAGATTAAAAAAGATTTAAGGATATTATACTTTCTCCTAGAAATGTCTTAACGACAGAACCCAATAGGGCTCAGTTCTATTATTTAACGGTGAGTTTCTGAGACTAAAATGTCAGTTTAAAACATATCTCTGTTTTGTCAACATAATGACATTTTTGTGACGGAATTGCCACTGTTTGCCTTGAGGAGGCATTTGCAGCTTCACCGGGCTTGAGGTGTCCGAGCGCAGATGGCACTTAGCCTAAACCTCGTTTAAGAGTAACTAAGCTCGAGGGCTCCCTCAAGAACCTCGGCTCGGGCCGTTACTTTATTATTACCGGATTGGAGACATAATGGCAGGGATGACGATATGTTTTATACAGAGTTTGGTCTCAGTTAAACCATAGGTAAATCTAATATCACTTACCAGATATCTCAAGGCGACTTGTGTGACTGCTTTGCCGTGTTTTTTAGCAATGGCAACCATCGTAGGATTGTTAATCTTAGGCTCGGGGCTGCCGGGCACCGTGCGGCCGGGTACCATCGTGCCGAATGATGTAAACGCGACGACAACCAAACCTTTTGATTGGCAATACTCCACCAGCTCCTTCTGACCTAGGTTTAGATTAATCTGGAAACATAGATACTAGTTTTATTTGTTTTAAGGTTTCCAACATATTGTTATATTTGATTAAAATGTGGATAGAACTAGGTCATAGGGAAGGGGATGAAACATAGGTTACTCTCCTCTCACATGATTGTTAATTAAAAATTCTAACCTCAATTTGGTTTGTGGCGGGCGGGACTTTGCAGTTTGCGAGCAGTCGCTGCATCTGTTGCAGATTGAAGTTGGAAACTCCGATGGTTCGTGTCAGTCCCTTCTGCAGCACCGCCTCCAGTCCGCGGTAAGTTTCCAGGTAGTCGATCTTCTCGTCCACGCCATCTACCTGCGAACAATGAAATGTTCTAGAAAAAATATTTTAAGTTCTAGTGTTTTTATAAACACTTTTTGGTTGCAGTTTGCTTTATTATTTAATAGCTTGTGTGTTCTTCAGTTTATGTTCTACATCTTTGCTAAATTTCAGCGAGATCCATGCAGCTATTCTGGAGATACCTTCTAACAAACATCCATCACACCCGACTTAGGTTAGGCGCTCCGAGCCCCTCAGTAGGGACGTATAGTGAGCTGATGATGACGATGAAACATCCATCCATCCATGTAAACACTCCCATTTATAGTTTTAGTAAAATTAACAGCAAATATATTTCTCCCTTATAATCCAAAGTTAACCTTTTACCCGCCGATACCTCCAATTAACCTTAAACAAATAGGTACTTGTGGTGTATGGGGTACTTACAGATATGGACATTGGCCAGTGCATCAGAACGAGGTCGACATAATCCATGTCGAGGCGCTTTAGCGACTCTCGCACCGACTTCTCCACGTCAGCTATGCGATGGTTGTGTTGCCACACCTGTCAGAATTCAATAAAAACATAATAACAATATCCTACTCTTTTGCTTTTAAATGCACTTGCTACATTAGACGTCAACTTTAGTAACAACTTAACAGATATCTTGGCGTCTTTTAGCTTCGCGCGAATCGCTACATGTAATTTAAGGTGTAGCGGAATGCGTGGGAGGGCACTTTGCAGCGCGCCGAAGATCTTGAGCCGCCAAGATATTTGAAAAGAAGTATACGTGTCTTTTTCCTCCTTTATCTTTGTAAAAAATCTGAGAAGGGAATGTGGATTCGACAACGACAATTTACTTTTACTAAAAAGTTTCCTTATAGTAAACCAAACTTCTTTTGGTTTATGACACTTCGCTGTTGCCCTACAAGAGACATTAACAGATGCACTGGGTTTAATCAGAAACATAAAAGACCTACCTTATGCAATTACTAACCTTAGTGGTAATAAACAAGTCCTCCCTCTTGACAACGCCCTCTTTAATCTTCAGTTTGACAACTTGTCCGATTTCCTTTTCAACACGGTAGAGGTCGGCTGTGTCGATGTGTCGGTATCCGATGTCTATGGAGTACGACAACGCCTCTACCAACTTCGGAGCTTCTTGCATATTGAACTCCATCTAAAATTAATCTTACTAATATTATAAATGCAAATGTTTAGATAGATGGATGGATGTTGGTAGGTATGTCAAAACCAGTGAACAGTGAACCAGTGATCTTTACTAAATTTGGCATAGATGTAGAACATAGTCTGGAAGAACACAGGTTGCTTATTAACTTCTTTTCTAATTCCGCGCGGACGGAGTCTCTGGCAACAGCTAGTGACAAATATAACAAAGTAAGGCTAAGGAATATGTTAGACTGTTAACCTTTTGACCGCCATTGGATAGAGTTTGTAAGTGGCTTACGTTGCTATTTCATCTTAATCTATTATTTTAATTCGTTTAGTGTTAATGGTTTTAAGTTTAGAAATAAACATAATTATGTTTTTACTTTTGTTTTAATATTTAAAAGAAAAGTCGTACGTAGATACTATTATTGTATAATAATTTAAATAATAATAAAAAAAAACATATGATCTTAAAGTTTTATTAGCTTGTAATTGTATTAGTTCTGATTGCATTTTATAAGTACATTATTGTTATAAGTCGCAAACAACTTGATAAAACAAGTGATAGCGTTTAGGTATTGTAAATTTCTTAAAGAGATAAAAATTATTTTTACAATGTCAGAAATGTATGCAAAAATATAGCAACATTCAAACAATATAGAGATAATAATCGCTAGTTTTCATTACCGAAACATCTGTACAAAAACATATTATTAACTAATTTTTATTATAAAGAATGAGAGAAAATTGTGTAAATAAATAATAGTGGAAACTAAAGAATGACAAAATCCATCTTCCTTTTTATTTCCAAAAAGGAATGCTTTATGCGTACTCCGCGCCCCGGAGGAGACGCGGTAGTTATGTGGGATTCTCCTCCATAGGCAGGCATACCCACTAAACCTCTCTGTTCCTCCAACGCATCAGGACGGGACCACGGGCAGACTTACTCTTTCGTCCGCGATCCCGTCAGCATCTTTGCCGGGGCAGCTCCCTCACGGGCAATCCATCGTCCTACTTAAGCCAAATTTGAGTATGCTTCGCTTTTGAATCTGAGTGTAACGTGTGTCGATTTTAGTTTACTTATACTTATACCTTATCATCAAGACCCAGCCATGTGCCGTAACCCAGTGCTGGCAATTCCAGCCCATTGTTCAGCTTGAAACTCGGAATGTTAACCTGTAAACAGATTAAAAATTTACAAATATACAAAATAGGACAGATAAAACATAAATCTCTAAACGTGTGTTTCAGACTTCAAAATCGTCATATTATCTTTGATAGACAGAGATAAAATATGTTTTAAACAAAGATTTAGGACTCAGAAACCTACAGTAATAGAAGTAGAATTTATAAAGCATTTTTATGACATAAAGATTTCTATTTTTATTAAATTTAATAATCTTGTCTGAGAAATTTTTAACCACAAGTTCACTTAAGGTTAGTTCCCGAAGGTTACCTTGACTTTCGATATTTTTTATCTATACTCTTAAATTGGCAGTAAAGGTTAATATTATAATATTTTTCCTTTCAAATGTAATGACATTTCTCATAATTATCTCGAAAATCGCGTATTCGTGTAAAAACTTCGCGTAAAAATACTCAAAAGTGGTTCCCCTTGACATGTAAAATAGCAAAGATAATGCCTTATTATTATGTATCTTCAATTAAATGCAACTATATTTTTTTCATGAAAACCGACATAAAAATTTGAAGTTATGATAGAAATTGAAAGAAAACAGTACGCATAAAACATCATCATCATCATCAGCTCACTGTACGTCCCCACCGAGGGGCCCGGAGCCTACCCTAAGTTAGGGTGATTAGGCCATAGTCAACCACGATGGCCAAGTGCGGGTTGGTTGACTTCACACATATCTTTGAATTACTTCTCAGATATGTACAGGTTGCATCACGATGTTTTCCTTCACCTTAAGAACGTCGGATAAATGTACATATGTAAATCGGAAATCGAAAAACACATTGGTACATGGCGGGATTCGAACCCAGGACCTGCAGATTGCAAGTCAAGTGCTTGACCACTGAGCCACCGACGTCTTTAAACGTCGCATAACGCATAAAATATATTTAAACAATTTTTAGGTAGAAAAAGTTCTAAAATAGTAAATATTTTATTTAATAATTCTGTCTGAGATTTTATCTTAAGAACACAAGCTTAGATATACTTTATTGAACAACTGTCATGTGTAAATATTAGGGTCCGTGCACATACATCGGAGACACACAATAAAATTAAAAGAAGAAAAAGACGGTAAAGTGAAATTAAGCGTTTTTTAATCGTAGTTCTTTTTTATCGCATTTTATTTGCGGCTTGTGTACGGACCCTTAGACGGACAAACATGCAAATGTTAATTAATTTTTATATACTTTCTTATCGACTCTTTCCGTCTGTAACAAATATTATTGAATACTTTTGCTGTAAATATTATTGTGTTATTATCATGAGTTGAATAAAAATGTGTGATAACATTTGAACTATGTTTATATTAAAATACGAACTGTTTTGTTATTCATATAACTTACATTAAATTGCTTTTCTTATTATTATTTTTTTTATAACAAAAGGGGGCAAACGAGCTGCGGGAACCGAGGTGTTCAACGCCCATGGACATTAGGTATACCAGAGGAACCGCAGATGCGTTGCCGGGGCTTTGAGATGGTGATACGCTTGTTAAAGGACCCTAAGTCGTAGCGGTTTGGAAATACCGCCGAGGATAGATTATTTCGCAACGCTATTTATAATATTTTTAATAATAATTATGTATCTATATAACAATAAAATTTAATTGTCTATATGTATTATATATTTTATATCTAATGTCAAAATAATACATAAAAAATCATATTTCGTACACACGATATATTTTCGTTGCTGACAAAAAAACCAACTTTTCGAATTTTCGTTTGTCTGTCTACTTTTGTTTCTAACAATTACCGACAAAGGATTGACCGATTTTGAAGGGAAAAGAATAAACACTTCTTTTTATTTTTTCTAATTATTTATTTTTAATTCTGTGCTAAAAAATAACAGGCGATCGTTAGTGAATATATAATTTCTAAAAGTAAAGATTAATAAAGATTAAAAATCGTTAAGAAACCAGAAAAATGTAAAAGAATTTTGAAATCGGCAATTTTAAATAAAGAACTTATATTTATTGCAAATTGACAATTCAATTGTTTTATATATCTATTTTTCTTTTGTTTCGCTTTTTTGTCTTCCTATTATAGTTTGAAAAAACCGTTTAATCTCTATTCTTTTTAATTAATACAATTGTGAAATGGTTAATAACGTCTGTATTTGTTAATTTGCTGATTTTATAAATTAATAAGCGACCAGTAAGTACACTTAAACCCTGTTGGTTTTTAGTACTGCTGTCTAACCGATGTTTAATTTGTTATGTGAAGTTTTTGTATAATAAATAAAAAAAATAATATTATCATTTTTAAAAACATACAAAATTAAATATCTTTTCCAAACCGGTGTAGAGAAAAAACAATTGCTTAAATTATTATTATCAAAAATGTACTAACCTTGGTCATGACTACACAGCGCGCGAACAGAAGCGAATGCCGGCAAATTGTGTTGTGACTTGTCATATAATAGTCTGGGGGCTTAGTACGAATATTTGTGACAGTCGTCTTCGTATCGTAAGTGTCTTATGTCAAAATTAGTATGAGAATTTTAGTGTATTGTACGTCCGATAGGGGCGCTGCATTAATTTTTAATACACATTTTGTCGATGGCTATACGAAGGCGATTCTCATGAATATTCGTGCTAGGCCCACAGCAAGCTAGACCTGATTGACAAAGAATAGTTTCTCAGACTTGACAAGGCCTTAGGTAACAAAATTAAAATCCATTGAGGAGATTCAAGTATTCATCAAATCATCTCAAAAACCTTCATATAAAATATTTAACAGCGAGGAATACAGGCTAGTTTGTACATATATGTACATAAATATAGCTACTGAGTAGTACCACCGCAATTTATGTACAAAAAAAATTGCCCTTGGCCCTTACCCAACATGCGATTTGACTCAATTTTCAAAAGTAATAAAGCTTATAATACAAATGTTTGTAAGTAAAATAATTAAACAGTCTATGGATGTATAATCATTGTCGTTGTGCAGATAACGAAATAAAGTTTATATTTACAGTTTGAACGGCCGACTTCATAACACCATTGTTACTTCATTTTACAATAGTACCGGACTTTGAAGTACCAATACAATGACACTTCAAATGTATATAAGAATTCGAGCATTTTTTTAGTAATTCGATAATTCTAACTTTAGTAAGGATTTTACTAAAAAAATAAGTAAGTCCTATGTTTAATAATTTAGGGTTAAAATTTATTCAATGTTTATTTTTAACGCCATCTTTGGTTGTAAACATAAAGTACAACTTTGGAAAATGTTCACTAGAGAGCGTCATCAAGTGTAAGTTTTAGCTACTCACCACTAGATGTCACTGTATTGTAATTTTAAATTATTACAGGTTTAAAAAGATAGATGGCGTTAGGGAAGCTCAAAAATAATTCAGAGCGACTGTTACTCTTTTTACCTCTATATATTTTTAATATCATCGTCTTAAATAGATTATAAAAATGTTAAATAGGATATAGGATTTATAAGAAGCAAAGACGTCATTTAACTTTCATCGAAATTGACAAAATCTATATATACGTAGGTATTTTATTTTTACGGAGTCATAATGGTGTATTCTTTTCCGCAGTACATCTCTTTAAGAAAAAAGGCTCGTATACTGGAGTGACTTGTAGTAAAAGTTTAATTAGAAATGCCTTCGGCGGCCACTTCATCCCGCGCCTGTAGCTTTATCTTACACTATTCATTGTCTACGACTTCGTACGCAGTTTTTTATTATTATAAAAAATCTTTCGTTTAAAGTTTTATAAGTAGAGAGATAATAACATTCTGTGATCTGGCAATTGTTACTTTCTTTTAGTTTGGTAGTAAAAATTTACCGTCGCAGCAAAGCTTACAATATTATAATAATATGACAGTTGACATAATGATATAAAACCTCGTCGAAAACTGTCTTTAAAAAATGTAAAAAATTTCAAAAATGTAAAAAATTTCATACTGACTTAGTAAATAACTTCAAATAAAGCTACGTAACATCAAATTAAGTTGGTTTCACATAAGTTTAATTGTTATCAAGGAACTTAATACTTTAAATGTAAACAAACAGACGAACAATTTTATTTTCTTATTTAGTACGAAGTTAGGATTCAGTTTGTTTTACGATGGAACAAAGTCTTATTTTTCCTTGGACTTTTTCAACGATAATAGCATTGAGGTGTTGATGCTTCGTTCACTTGTGAATCACAAGCTATTTTAATTTAAACATTATTTAGTATTTTCTATTTTTTTCTATTGCCATTGTAAATATTTTAAATATAATTGAATACTTAATACAAATTTCGCTTAATATAATTTATAATATTCAAAGTATATGTGCAGTTTGATTCAGAATTTATAAAGAGCTCTGATCTTGTGATTTAAAAATTAACAACAATTTAATCTAGTTAATTTAATTAAGCAATCTACTTATATCTAGACTATGTCACAATAACTAACTAACCACCACAAAACATATGAATTAATTTGTACTATATCAAATGAACTATGCTAACTAAAACTAAAGCAAACTAAAAATAAAACTAAATAATATTATAACTAAGAGCTCTTGTTTAATCTATCTTTATATATATAATTCTTCTGTGAGTGTGTATGTCACTGAACTTCTCTCAAACGACTGGAGCGATTTTGATGAAATTTTTTGTGTGTGTTCAAGGGGATTTGGGTATGGTTTAGATTCACAATTTTGTCCGTTGGACAATGTTTTTTTAATTAATTTTTAATTTATTAGTAGTTGTTGATTTTGGAATGTTTTACATTGGATCCGACAGACGGCGCTACCATCGCAGTGTCAAATTTTAAACAATATTCGAATTAAAGACGTGTAGACAGGACAACGTCTGTCGGGTCCGCTAGTCTATATATAAAAATCAATTGGTGTTCGTTAGTCTTGCTATAACTCGAGAACGGCTGAACGGATTTATCTTATCTTGGTCGTGAAATGTTCGTGGAGTTCTAGGGAAGGTTTAAAAGGTGAGAAAAATTCTAATAATTGCCGGGTACTAATTTAGTTTTTATTCCATTCACGCAGTCAGAGTCGCGGGTGACAGCTAGTTTAAACTTATTTAAACATAAAGTATTTTTTTTTAATGAATATTTTTCTTTGCTCGTGACCCAATGGGATTGTAAAGTTAAACGGTCTTAAGATTTAATAATGTTCTACAAACAGATACTCTTAACTAGTTAGTTGACTTGCCCGTTCGAACGCAGCACGCACTTTTAAAATATTCACTTTTAAAGCTCTGACTAATTAAAAAACACCCCTACTTGAAAAACTTTCCGCTTTTTTCCTTCACAGAGGGTTGGGGGGTGTAAGGTGAGAGAGAATTGTTTGAAGTCTACGTATTTCTTTAATTGTTTTTAAGATGAGTTGATGTTTCCTATTTGTTTTTCATCTTTACAGCTTCTTGATTGTTTGCAAGATTAATGAAGGTTAACTTTATTTGTGAGTTTCCATTGTCTCTTTACAAATACAGTAAAAGCTCTTTATTCGCGGGTGTTTTGTTCCATAAATATACAGCGAATATAGGAATTGACTCGTAATTTTCATCCGTGAATAGTAGAAACGCAAATGAAGGAAGCGCATAAGGAGCTTTCTCATACTTGTTTTTTATGTTTATGTTATATATAATTCTCGTGTCACAATGTTAGTTACTTAACTGTGAAACAACTTGACCAATTTTTATAGTAGCTCTGAAAATCGGCTTACTATTTTTTTATACTGCACGGACGGAGTCGCGAGCGACATCTATGTATATATGTTTTTTAATCTAATCTCATACACATATGATAAGATCTACAAATTTTTTAATATTAAAAGTTATAAATAAATATATAATTGTATTATAGAATTAAAAATTATTATTATATTATAAAGAGAATTTGTTTGTTTGTTTGTTCAATATGCTCTCAAACTACTGAATAAATTAAAAAAAATCTTTCACCGTAGAAAAGCTACACTAATCCAAATGTGACGTAGGTTTTATTTATTACTAGATTGTTTAATTTTACCTGAACGTAGTGACAGGAATATTAATAGTAGTTTAAAAGGTACATAGCGATAAACAGTAGAGCCGACGGCTTATGTCGTTTGAAAGAAAATTGAAGAACACATAGACAAGATGAAAGAGAGAAATATTGGCAAACAAAGAGAAAATATTTACCTTAATTCAAAGATAATTTAAATATTAAGTTATTGTTTATTAATAATAATAATCGTGTTGTGTATTTTATTATTATTGATAGTAAATAAAGAAAAGAAAAAAATATTATTTAATATGCCAGAAAAAAAATTGACTATTCTTACTGGCAGTCGTAAAAGATAAGGCTAAATATTAAAGATGACCTTGAGTTGATTTCACGTGGGATAAGACCGGAAAGATGATGGCCAGAAATAATATATGTTATAGTTATAAATTAAAAAAAAAAGACTGTATTTTTGTTAGTCGCCAGATCCTGATTTACTTAGAACATAAAATTCTAACCTAACAAGCACGTCGATTTAATTACGTGTTTATTTGATTCGCTCACCACATTATATTATTTTTAATATAAATTAGAAAATGTTTATCGAATTAAATCTTTGTAAAATAACATCATTTTATATTTTATATATACAAATAGATATTTTAAAAAGTTTCCGTTTTATTTTATTGTAATACATCGAAGTATAAAGACATTCGAAATGATAGTGACATGTGAGAGAGTTTGTACAATGACGAAATGACAACTTCACCTTTATTTAAATCACAAACAAACAAACAGACAATACAATATAATAAACTGTCGGACACAAAATAAAAGCACATCGGAGAAATTTCAACGTATAAATAGGTAGATGAAAAAAAAAGGTAGTCGACTCCGCCCCGGTTTTAAGCCACGCCTTTACGTAGTGGGGGAACCCTGGCTTATTCGCCAGTCCGTTGAGGCATTCGCGGTTCGCGTACGACGTTTCAGTGAATATTCCAATAGTTTCCATAAAGAAATATATTTCAAAATCAAATACAATTAGCGATTTAGCAACGTCAAAACGCATGCGAATTTGACAGTTGTTTTTTTTTTTTATAAAAAGGCAAAGGTCCGCGTATCCGTTCGGTTGTGTGAGTGTGTGATAGAGTATGTTGTTTTAATATTATAAGTTACGAATGGCGGATTGTAGTGGGATATACAGCGTGATTTAAAAAAGGTATGGAATTTTTGTTTAATTTTTTTTTTAAATATTAATTATTATTTTTTATGCATATACGAAATACTGTTATTTTGCTCTACAATATTTTTGAGTAGGCGTGAACCTTCTAATATTACATATAAAAAAACACTGGCATAATATAATTAACTAGTACTCGAAAATATTTTTCTTGCATTACTTATAAACAGAAAATATATACTTCTTCAGTATGGACTCAAAACTATTCAACGCATTTAAAAAAAAAACATTTACGGAAAGCCAAATGAATTCATTAAGATTGATTTAAGTTTTGTAAAAACCTACATTGATTATCTTTATTGTTAAAAAAGGCCGTAATGTAAAAATAAGTATAAACAATATGATCTGTTTTTGTGATATTGGAAAATACGAAAATTTCTATTCAAAGAAGCTCTTCTCCAATAACTATTTGAAAATTATAACACCTTAATAAATATAAAACCTATATCAATGTTTAAATCTCGTAACAAATGATAAAATAGTGTGTTACATCAAAATAAGACGATTTCGTTTTTTTTTAATCTTCTAAATACAAAAGCCAGTGTCAAAGATCAAAAAAATCACCGAATATAAAAACGAACATACTTTTTATAAAAAATATATAAAACCAGTTTTTTGTACAACCATTAAAGTAAAAAAAAAAATGAGATAAAATTCTAAAACCAAATTTAGTTGTTAAAAAAGTGAGAAAAATTCATGATGTTCATTTTGTTTTGTCTTTTTTTATTAATACGAATTTTAATAGAATAAAAATTTTTTAATAGAACGTTTTTTAATAGAATAAAAATGTTTGTCCTATTTTAATTTAAAAAAACAGTCTTATTCGCTAATTATAAATAAAAGATATATAAAAGAAATAAAGAAAAAAAACGTTGAACATTTCAAATATATATATAAAATACTATTCTGTGAAAAAAATGTTATCGTAGAACATCCGTAAAGAAACATATGCAAAGGAATAAATTAAAAAGTCGAGTACAACGTTAATAAGAAATATTTAATCTGTGCCGAGCAATTAATCATTTGAAATAATTAATTTGTTTAACACTTTTATACTATTAAATTATTTGTACAGTTGTTTTAAATAATGCAAATTTATAGCGGACTGAAGCATTGTATTTATGTTTTTTAAATGGTTGAAATGATATAATGTTACTGGCCAGTTATAATTTTTATTCTTTTTTTTGACATTTGAATTTTAAAGCAATATCAAAACGCTTTTACGTGTTTTTAAAGATGGCTACTTTCTGCGATTTTTAAAGTTGATATTTTAATAGGATAATGGGGTAAAAGTATAGTACATTTAAAGATATTTTATTGCTGACTAAAGTTCAAGAAATATAATAGACAAAAATGTAAAAATCAATGCTTTACCGATTATAAAATATAATAAAAAAAACTATACCCAAAAACATGATATAGAACAATATTTTAACCAGTAAATTTTAGTGCTATCACTACCCAATTATATTACTAATATAGTAATAAAGATGCCAAAATAGTTACATACCGCGGATTAAAAAAAAATAAAAAGTTAATATTTTCCAGGATAACGGATTTACATGTTTGTATTTCCAGAACGGCTTACGGGATGTTGAAGAACACATAGGCTACTTATTTTTAGTAGCGCGGATGAATTCGCGTGCGACAGCTAGTATGACATAAAAAAGCGTAAATGATTATTAAAAAGAATAAAACAAAGAAAAAAAATTATGTGGCAGAATATTCCAAAGACCTTAGCCTTTAAAATCAAATTAAAAAATAATCAGGATTCCAGAAGCTTGTGAACAAAGTAAAATAACAATGTCAATAGCGAATATGAACTTAACAATGTTATAATAACATAATAATTTATTGTATTTGTAATTGTTTTACGTAAGAGATATAATTTATGTTGTGTAATCGACATGGACGATTTTTATTCTGTTCCACTTGTTAAAATATCATAAAATTATTTTAATGTTTTGTTTGGTTAACAATTTTGACGTTTGCGTTACGTTTAAAAATAGTTTTCTTTTTTTTTAGAACTATTTGTAGTAGTTGCCAGTACGTCGTAAGCGCATAATTAAAAATATAGTAATATTGTCTATGCCACCGGGAGATAATGTAGCTTGCCAGTGACAGAATTTTTCATATTCAGTAGTTTTTGAAATAAACAGATAATCAATGAAATCTTCTTTTTCTAATATCAGTATAAAAAGCTGCCAGTGACTCAAGTAAAATAATTAATTGTAGATTATTAAATCGATTAATATAAGCTTATAAATAGAGTTTTTTTAACATATCATAAAATATGTCACGAGGTCCTAGTTTTTAGTTTAACTTAATTATTGTAAAAGTTCTTTTAGTGAGCTTAAGGATTATCTTAGCGGCCCTTAAAGGATAATAGATGGCGTTAGTTGTTAGAAGTTGTTTGATTTGATGTTTACGTATTCTGTTGAAAATTGCTAGAGAATTGGTCTGGCGTCTCGTTTATTTTTTTTAATTAATAATTATTATAATTAAATATTCGTCTCGTGGATATAAATTACGATACAAATTTGTATATTTCTAGCGATTACTTGTTAGATCAAAGTTAATTTAACTAACGCAAATTCTTATGAGAAAATAAATTAATTTATTTTAATGCACTCGTCTTTGTTCAAAATTTATCTCTAGAAGAATACATATTTAAGAAGGTTAAAATATCTTTGGTTCTGTCTTGGTGTGTACAAAAACAGTACTGCAATGTGTACTATTCTACCCTCGTGTGAAAGTGTTTCACGGCGAACTTGAGTTGAAAAGCTTTGCTCCGTTGACATTATTGAATACAATTTTAGTACTGATATTAATAGCGTGTGCAGAGCTAAAGAAATATGACCGCGCCCTTTGAAACTCGGTACTATTCTTGATGTTGGCAGAATTTTTAGTCGTATTAGGGTTGTAGCACACTGCAGCAAAAGCCGGCGGCGAAACGTGCGACATATGAGAGCTAGCATAATTTTAGCCTATCCTTTGCCTCCTTGTTCTTATAAGAAAAGTATGGGATGGGGAAATAGTTTTGACAGGGACACATACGAATTTTCCTCTGATTAAAGGTAGGCAACGTATCTGCAATTGCGGATGTCCATGTGGCTGGTCCCTCGTTTACCACTAAATTTTAAAAGAAAATTTAGTATCCATTTTCTATACTATGAAGTTATTACATTAGGTTCATATCAAAGGTTTATTACTTTTCGGTTTGTTAGCTATGTCCTCGACGTCTTGTCTCTGGTAGGTTTTCAGGTTAAATTATAACCTTATATTATAATGGAAACAGAGTTGTAATTTTACTCTTACTAATATTATAAATGCGAATGTTTAGATGGATGTTTGTTTGAAGGTATCTCCAGAACGGCTGCATGTATCTTGCTGAAGTTTGGCTTAGATATAGAAAATATACTGGAAGACATAGGCTACTTAAGTTTTTAATTTCGCGCAGACGGAGTTGCGGTTGACAGTTTGTTATTAAACCTTATTAAAGTCTAGATAAATACGAATCGAATGATTACCTCATAGTTTAAAATCTTGCCTACACGTTTAATTTACAACTCCATTGAAATAGAAATTAACGACAACCAGTCTAATGCTGTTTGTTTGTTTGTTTACTAACTTAAAGTTAAGTATTAACATGAGTTATAACAGATGTGCGACTGATGTAACTATTTACTCTTTCTTCCGTTCACTTTAACTTAAAAAAAGTAAGTTTTTCTAATATATTCCCACGACGCCACGCTCGTGTTCTTGATAAATATTCATGAAGTAATCAAGTGTAGCTAAGCCTAATATAGTACTAATATGTTCAAAAGCATACAACTATATATGTAAAGAATTCTCATACATACTGTATACGGTACGAATTCATTTATATGTAACCTAAATTCAAACATAATCAACCAACCCGCACTTAACCAGCGTGGTTGACTATGGCCTATCACCCTTAACTTAGGGTAGACTCCGAGCTCCTCTGTGGCGACGTATAGTGAGCTGATGATGAACCTAAATTTGTATAGAGCAGGCTCAGGAGTTAAACATTTGACTTGCAATCGACGGGTCTTGGGTTCGAATCGCGTCATGTACCAAAGTGTTTTCCGATTTTTAATTTATATATGTACATTTATGCGACGTTCTTACGGTGAAGGAAAACATCGTGATGCAACCTGCATATATCTGAGAAGTAATTCAAAGATATATGTGAAGTCAACCAACCCGCACTTGGCCAGCGTGGTTGACTATGGCCTAATCACCCTTAACTTAGGGTAGGCTCCGAGACTCTTGGTGGGGCGTATAGCGAGCTGATAATCTCAATTCATATGCTTTGGCGATCAATATAAATGTAATTAAAATCCTTAGATTTAAAAGTGTTTAAGTTAGTATTTTAAATTAAATTGAATAGTTTTGATATCGGTAACGGCGTTAGGGTATAGATTGGACGGTTGAGCTTAAGCCGCTGATCAAGAAGAGTGGTCACAGTTCTGCGGATTATTATACATAGTCTCACGTAACCCTACCTTCCACCCCTAAAAGCATGGTAAAAAGGGCTCGCAGTAATCCAGCCTAAAGTGCTGATAGCCCTAAATAAGGCACAGATGACAAAGTTAACGAAAAATTATTGAAAAATTATTAGGTGTTATCTGACGTCCGCGACTTCGTCCGTGTGGAATGAAAAAAGAAACTTAACTAGTTTCCGGTAATTATTGGAATTTTTCTCACCTTTTAAACCTTCCCTAGACATGCACGAACATTTCAAGACCAAGATAAGATAAATCCGTTCAGCCGTTCTCGTGTTTTAGCAAGACTAACGTACAGCAATTGATTTTTATATGTATACTAGCGGACCCGACAGACGTTGTCCTGTCTACACATCTTTAATTTGAATAAATTAATATGAAGTTAATATTTGATGAAAATTGTGAATCTAAACCATTCCCAGATCCCCTTGAACACACATAAAAAAATCA